TGTGCCTGTGTGCTTTATCCACCACCATTAGTTACCATCTCATGAGTGTCAGGGTAGAGCTGTGTGCTCTGTGGGGTCACCCGCAGCTGATTTCTGGGAATTAGATAGCCAGGCCTTTCTTCCAAGGTGCGTGCGGGGTAAACTTGAACCTATAACCTTTTGGTTAGTTGACTAACATGTTAACAGTTTGTGACTTACAGAATGGACTTCATGTTTTGTTCCTCTTTCTGTTTATTACAGTTGTCCAAAGAAAGTAGACCATTTTTCTTGGTGAAGAGAAACCTACCTGCCATTCTCCGAGGGTGAGTAAGCCTTTGAATTCTTCCTGTATCTCTGTCCATTTCAACATGATGTCCAGTTATTGCGATGTTGCAAGGGCTAGCAGACATTCTGCTTCAAAGAAACTTCTATGAGGTTTCGCTTGTAAACCAAACCAAACCGAAAGAAAAGCGATCCTTCAACTCTCCTTGGCACCGGATTTTTTCAGCGAGGAAGCTGCCCTCCCAGACTTGGCTAGCCTTTCTTTCCTCCATCGTCGTCGGCATGCTAGCTTCTTAGGGGCTGTTATCGCCATTGCTCTCACCTGGCCCAGCCACAGAGACAGGACGTTGCTGTCTTCACTGACCGAGGCACAGTCCGGCTGTTGGGGGTAAAGCCATTTTGTTCACATGGCAGTGCTGTCTGGTGAAGGCCATAACCAAGACCATAGGGCCCATTGGGACCCCTTCTTTGCAGGGGAGGCAGCCCGAGTCTCCTGTCTGGAGTTTCCTGGCAGTGGCAGAGCTGGGGCCATCCGAGGAGCACTGCACTGCTAGTGGTATGGCCTTCACACTACCTGTGGGTTCCACAAATTCATCCTGAGGCATCCCAGAGGGGACTCCACCTACTGGAGTGTTGATATACCAGTGCCTGCTATTGTCTATTGCCACTGAGTCGGCTCCGGGGGTACAGGCCGGACCCTTGCCAGGGCCTGAGCCGTCTTCATGACCGCTGGCAGGCTTGAGCCCATAGCTGTGGCTGCTGTGTGTTTGGGGTGCCATCTAATAGTACATGGGACAAGTAGTCCCATGTCATCCAGAAGCTCTTCATTGGCTAATGGGAGCAGATAACCAGGCTTTTCTTCCTCATCTGTTTGTCTGGAAGCTGTGCTGTGGATGACTGCCAGTATTTGCAGTACTGGTGGCATGGCTTCCTGCACATACACCACCAAACTGACTGAACATGTTAGTCTGGGTAGACTAGAGAAGCAAATTCATAGACACTCATATGTGTATAAGAAAGAGCTTTACATACAAGAGCAATTGAACATTAAGGAAACATGCCAGCCCAGTCCAGATCAAGCCCGTAAGTCCTATATTAGCCCATATGTCCATTCCCAGTCTGTAAATTCCTCTTCAGACTCTCTCAACACATGCAATGTCACCGAATGCAGGAAGATCACAGGCCAGTGGGTGGGAATTCTTGTGGAGCCAATGGTGATGTAGGCATTTCAGCACTGGCAGGGGTCTCCATGTGACTCCTTCAGTTCCAGGGCTCTAGTGTAGCTCCGTGTGTCTGGTCAACAGGAATGTCTCCCAGGCAGTGAGTGAGTATCCCGCCTCCAGGAAGCTATTTATCTCCTTAGTGCCTCCAAATG